CCCCCCACAATGACACACACAGCCACCCTGTCCCCCCACAATGACACCCACAGCCAGCCTGTCCCCCCCAGCCCTGCCACTCACGTCCTGCACTTGACACACTCTTCTACAAACATGTTCCCGTGCAGCTCAGCCAGCTTGTCCCTGTGCGAGAGGAAGGAAGAGCTGCCGGGGGCTCCCTGGGTGCCCAGGCCCCGCATCCACAAGACCAAGCCACTCCCCCACCTCCCGGCCCATCCATGCGCTGTGCATCCCTGCACAGTGGCCCAACCTCTCTGTCCTCTCTCACTGTCCTCACGGCTGACCCCACCTCTGCAGATGGGCGGCCTTTCTCTTGGTAACATGCCTGCCCCCTTCCAAAGTGTAGGAGGCTGCAGGGCCGCCCGGTGGAAGGACAGGGTTGGGATTCCAGCTGGCCATGAGAGAAATGTGGCATGCGTGGCCCCGGAGCACAGGCTTTGGGGCAGGGAGTGAGAGCAAATCTGCTGAGCAACCCTGAGCCAGCCTCTTACCCTCTCTGTGCCTCAGTCCCTCTCTGTGGAATGAGACAGTGACATCCAAGTCTTTGGATGTCAAGGGTTCCAAACAAGAGGCGTGGCAGGTGCTTCCCTGTGGCTCCCCTGCCACCTCCTGGGGTCCCTGCTGCAGTGCCACCTCCACAGGGGAGCCCTGCTGACCGCCCCTTCACAGCCACAGCTTCCCAGCGCCCCACTGTGTGCACTCAGGATGGGGACCCCCTGACGCAGGTCCAGGGACCCCACTTCTGCCCCACCGAAGCACAGGCCCTGGGACACAGGGAACAACTGCCATCTGTCTGGTCCATTCCATGTCCCGCACCAGAAGAGCCTGGCACGCAGTAGGACTCAATAAGTAAACACCTGCGCTGGGAGCCTGGGTGCAACTGTGTGCCCAAGAGGCCGCCTGAGTGTCTCTGTGCCCCATCAAAGGCCCATCCCGCGTGCTCAGGTGTGGCAACCAGGCCTGGCCTGCAGCAGCTCGGGCTCCGTCCACCCACAACCACGGGGTCCTGGGGCAGGGAGGGCACTCGGGTGTGGACCAAGTCTGGGCTGCAGCAGGGCTCAGGGGCAGCGCCAGGACCTGGGCTCCGCCAGCACCAGAAAGGAGGGCATCTTGAAACGAAGCAAGTGGCAAGCTCAGGACCTGCCCTGCCACCCGGCACACCTGAGGGGACTCACACCTGAGGGGAGTCACACCTAAGGGGAGTCACACCTGAGGCGGTTACACCTGAGGGAGTCACATCTGACACCTGAGGGGACTCACACCTGAGGGAGTCACACCTGAGGGGGGTCACACCTGAGGGGGTTACACCTGAGGAAGTCACACCTGAGGGAGTCACACCTGAGGGGAGTCACACCTGAGGGGGTCATACCTGAGGGAGTCACACCTGAGGGGAGTCACACCAGAGGGGAGTCACACCTGAGGGGAGTCACACCTGAGGGGAGTCACACCTGAGGGGAGTCACAACTGAGGGGGTTACACCTGAGGGAGTCACATCTGAGGGGAGTCACACCTGAGGGAGTCACACCTGAGGGAGTCACATCTGAGGAAGTCACACCCGAGGGGAGTCACACCTGAGGGGAGTCACACCTGAGGGGAGTCACTCCTGAGGGGGTTACACCTGAAGGAGTCACACCTGAGGGGAGCAACACCTGAGGGAGT